AAATCAAAGTAGATCTATAAATATATGAAAATCTTGAAAATGGACGGTGTAGATAATATGTTGTAAAATGCGCTATTTCTGATACTTAAAATCTTTTTGTTTTTCATGTTCATACATCTCGGATGCCGAGATGATCAATCAAAGGTTTTTTCAACATTAAAACTATCTTTTCCAATGAATTTTTAGTTGTAGAGGTAAGGTTGCAACTTTATATAAACTTTTTCCATGTAACATTTGGTACATGCCGTCTTCTCAATGGGGCGTACCTAAAACAAGTATTAAAAATATTTTTTCGACAAAATATAATGATTAAAATACCATTTGAATCTTTTAGGACTATTTTGATCTTTTTTTTTATTGGGAATATTTGTTTTATATTTTTTACAAGTGCAAGTTCATGAGAGGAGTAGATGCCCAAAAATTGGTATCAAAATATTGTCAAAAAAATTTAAAATAAAATAGTGTAGAGACATGATATTGAGATTTAGACCATCTCAGTCGTCTACTTAGAGTGGACGGTTGGATAGGATAATGTATATAAGTTTTAGCAAAATTGCATACACCCTCTCAACTTGAGCTTCATTAGTAGGGTGCAGTTGTCATACGGATGCATCCGTATGTGTAGAGGTAAGGTGCACCTTCAAATTTTATCATGATATATAATTTATAAAATTTTAAATTTAAAAAATGGTTAAAGTCAAGTAGATCTATAAATATATGAAAATCTTGAAAATAGACGGTGTAGATAATATGTTGTAAAAAACACTATTTATGAGACTTAAAATCCTTTTACTTTTCATAGTTATGCATCTCGATGTCGAGATGATCAACCATAGGGTTTTTCAACATTAAAACTACATTTTCCGATGGATTTTTGAAGGGCATATGTAGTTCTACATTATAGGGTTGCACCCTTATATAAACTTTTTCCTTCTTAGTATCCTCCTTTTAACCAACTTTTTTTATCCCATTTTTTACCCCAAAATTCATTTTTTTAGCAAATACACCCCCAAGTCAAATAAATACTAAAATGCCCTCTCCTTATTTAAAATGTCTCTCTCTCTCCTCTTTCCTTTTCGGCAATAGAAAAGGCGGTCCAGCATGAGATGCACTCAATCCAGTACTTCCAACTGCTGTCCAACATTGTACTATTCAGCATAATGTGCACGCGATTAAGCGCAAGGTGCCCTCGGTTTGGCAAATATGCAACACAGTTTGGCACAAGGTAACATCGGTCCAACACTGTTTAACCTTGGTCTAGTAGTTGTTTACTGCGGTCTGTCATATTGTTCGCGCAGTCTGATAGTTTTTTACCACGGTTCCGCAGTTAGTCTTTGGTCATTATGTATGCTCCGAGGATATGATGTGAGCTTGTACATGTAACGGTATTTCGGTCCAAACAACTATAACTATTTGACTTGGGGGTATTTGCTAGAAAATTATATTTTGAGGTAAAAATTGAGATAAAAAGTTGGTCAGGGAGAAGCTGCCAAGAAAGATCAAGTTGGGGGTGTCATGCAATTTTTTCTAAGTTTTATGTTGAGGGAAGCATAGAAAGCTTCACTCAAACCCCTCCATAACTTTGAATAAAAGAATATCCAATAGAAAGCTTGCCCCCCACTCAAACCCCTCCATAACTTTGAATAAAAGAATATCCAATAATAGGACCATATGCTCTTTGTTCACAAGTTGACATTTCCTTTTTTGTCTCCTTTTTGAAGTTGCTTTCTTGTTTAAGAAGTTTCTCCTTAAAAAATGAGTGGCTTCAAAATGCTCGTACATTGCATTACTATTGCTCACGTGGGAGCATAAAACATTTTGACATTATTCAAATGACAAAAGGGATATCATGCAAGGTGTGAGCGTTAAGGACGGTGGTCATTATTTGTAGTGGAAAAGTTTATACAGAGCCGAAGCTCTAAACAATCAAATTGAGCCTACTTCAAAAATTCCATTAGAAATGGTTGTTTTGATGCATAAATATCTTCAAATTGATCATCACAACATCAATATGCATGGACATGAGAAAAAAATAGATTTCAAGTTTTGAAAATAGTGCATATTGTAACACATTTTTTCATCATCAATTTTTTAGATTTCAAAGTTTCATATATCCTCTGGATCTACACTATTTTTTAAGCTTTAAATTTTATAATTAATGATGAAAGTATATTTTAAGGTTATCGTAAAAAATTTTAGTATTGAAACTACATTTCCCGATACTATTTGAAGGTGTGCTTTACTTTGATTGATTAGAGCCTCAACTCTATACAAACTACACCCTCATTTGTAACGACCGGTTTTTATGCAGCCAAGCCGCATTATATTTGCTGCATTACAATAGAAATAGGGGCCTCTTAATAAATCTAAAAAAAATAAGATTTTAAAACTATAAATAATAAATTTAGTAAGAAAACATTTAGATTATTAATTTCCATTGTATTAACCTTAAAATGTTTTTTTATTAGAATTATTAGTTATAGTTTTAAAATTTTATTTAATTGTTCATATTTATGATCTTCATGTTAGAGATTACATGTCTTTAAACATTAAGCCCAAAAATCCATCTAAAAAATAGATTTATTAATATGCCTACATTTCTACATATGCGGGCTTGGCGGCATAGAAACCGAGTCCTTTGTAAGGAGAGAAAGAGAATTGGTAGAGAGATAAGAAAGTTCAGGGTGGCAATGGGCCGGTAGGAGCGGACCGAGTGTCTGGCCCAGTTCAATTGGACTTAAAAAGTTAGGATCCGGGCAACCAAATGTAGCTCGAGAGCCAGGATTGAGGTAGTTCAAGAGAGGCCCAGTCTAGCCTAGCTCATTTTTTTTTGTTTTGTTTTATTTAATTTTACCCAGCCCGGGCCTGACCCTAGGCGGCCACCGAGCCCAAACTGTTGCTAGCCCAAAGAAGAATTGGGTAGAGAGAAAAAAGAAAAGCACGTGATAATCCAAAGTCCATTTATTTTCCTGCAAAATCGGTCAATTCTCAAGGGCTTTTAATATTATCGCTTTCTTTCTGGTTAAGGCAGGTGCCGTCTAACACGTGATAATCCAAAGTGAAAACAACAGATAGACGAGAAAATCACGGTCAGCGTTGCACTTATCACCCTTTATTTTCCTGGAAAATCCGTCCATTCTCAACGGCTTTTAATATTTTATCGCTTTCTTTCAGGTTAGGGCAGCTGCCTTCTTAGCTACTTTTTCTCTCTCTCTAAAACTCTTCCCTCTTTCTCTCTCTAAAACTTTCTCCCTCCCTCCGTTTCTTTACCTCTACACAGTCACGCGTTACCAAAACGCGTTGTGCACGTGTAAACTGAACCCTATTAAAAACGCTCTCGGCTTGAGAGAAACCGATATTTTGTTTCGTACTTGCCGCAGCAGAGGATTCTTTTCGATTGTAGCAGAGACAAACGGTGAGTTTTTTCTTTATTTTCTATTTATTCTCCTTGAATGGCAAATAGTTTTGAATTTTCTCTTCTTCATCTCCTTCATCTGGTTCTGGAATCGGTTTCTTTGTTTTTCCTTGCGATTTTTGCTTTTGGAGAAAGTTCTCAACTATTTTTTTGAGTTTTTTTTGTTTTTGTTGTGTTGTGAATGTTTCCTATGTAAACACTGCAACGTATGCTTCTAGTTTCACCGAATGACGGGTTGATCCATGATGTTATTCTTTATTTTGCTTGGTCTGTTTGACATTAGTTAATTTGTTGATTTTCAATACAGTAGGGTTTGATTGTGGTGGATATTGGCTTTTTTATACTTAGTTTTATTGATTTTCGTGAAGAAAAAGCAGATCCTTATCCACTTTCCTTGTCTTTTAATCTTTCAGATCCTGATCCACTTTCCTTGTCTTTTAATCTTTCTGTTGATTTTTTTTTTTTGGAGAATGATCGCTTGATTATTTTTTCATCCTCTGGTGTTTTATCAGTTGATGACATCTGATTTGTTACAAATTTGAATTGCTAATTTGCTACACATTCTTGATAGTTGCTCTACATTTCAGATTTAATATAATAGCAACTATTAATAAACGAAATTTATGGAAAAGTATTTATTTCAATGTGTGAGTGTGTATATATTGTGTTTGGGGGATGTTTTCTATGGACTTTGCACAATTAATATCTTTAAATTTGTATCTAAAGAACTCTTGAGATGTTTGATTGGATGTCCATGAAGATGGTTCGTCTTGCTATGCTTTTTATGTAAAATCGAACCCAATGTTTTGACATCCTCTTAAGAAGAGGATCTGTTTTACAGAGAGAGTTTCTTCAGTTCTGCAGAACTTGAAACCATGACATGAAAAGAGAATTTCATTCGTACTTCATTGCCTTTTACAAAAAAGGATCAGATTGCGAAAGAAGAATATGATGTTTTCCCTTTCCATCTGCCATTTGATCAAAAAAATTATGTGATTAGCTTTGTTTTGGAAAGAAATAATGAGAATCTGGATGGTTTTGACATGCTTTTGTTGGTTGTTTGATAATATCTTCTCTGAGACTCTCTATATCTTCCCTTACGCTTGTCAATGGATAAGGATATCTTCGTGTCTTATGTTTAAGATCTGTCAATGGATGAGGATATCTTTGTGTCTTATGTTTAAGATCTGAAAACTAAGATAACCGACCTATCTCATGTGATATGCCCATATCTGATGGGTTGGGTCTTTGTTTGTTGATCTGGAATAAAACAGATGGGTTCTTATTCATTGTTTCTGGTTTGCCCACCCAATTTAGTTTACTTTCTGCTGCACTATATGGTAAAGTTCAACATTCAAATTACATAAGCTGACTAAGCAGATCATCATTTGTATTTTCATATGGCCTTTCGTTTGCCCACCAGCTCTGTTGTGAATATGTTCCTAGCTTCTAGGAGAATTGTTTTTGGCCATGTTCCGATTCGCTCATCCTTAAACTGCAATATGATTGACAAATTAAATTCATTTATTCTTACTGTTTTTTAGATATTGTGAATGAAGGTTTGAAACCCTAAACCAATTGCAAAAATAATTATTTGTGGTCTCCCATGCATGGAATCCATCATCTCTATATTGCGTTCATAGTTTTTGTGAGACTTTTGATTTGATGCTTTTCTCAACCTGAGAAAACTGTTCTCTGGATGTATGGGAGATTACAGAAGTTGTAAGTCCTGTAAGCCTTGTCACAATTTTAATGATATTTTGGTCCCTATGCATTATGCTCTGCGGACCCCATGACTTGTGACTAGCTGTTAGTTTGTATTATTCTGTCCTGTATCATCCTGGTTTTCATTTGTCAAGATTATGACATGTACGTTGTAAACTAGTGTTAACTTTGCTTGAGGCCTCATTCATAACGTCCTTCAAAACAATCAAATGTTTTGGCCTTTGAATCATGTAAGGTATCTTGGTTGTGTGTTTGAGTGTCTGATGTTTGTCAAGGCTGCTTTCACTCTGTGAATCCATCCAGATCAGCAGTATGGCAACATTGCCCTTTTGCAAAGCATCAAAAGTGATGCCTGTCATTTTTTTCATTTAAAACTTGCCTACCATGGATCTTCTTGATGTTGGGGTCTGATTTCTTTACTGGAATCTACCTTCAGAGCGTTTTGAAGTTCAAGTATTGGACTCACTATCTTGACCTCAAGATTGACTTGGATGCTTAAACCCTTTGTCATTTTTTCTTCGTGTTTTTTTTTTTGAGAACCTCTCATCTCATTTTGTTTTGTGGACTTATGTCGTGATGTTCAACTTTTCTGCAAATCATTTCTTGAGAAGTTTGTTGGTGTAATCTGTTTATATTTCCACCAACATCATGACTATTCTTCTCATTTCTGAATCAAATGATTGATTTTCGTTTGTTCCATATCTTATGCTTATCATGCCCATTATGCATATGATGTGCCTAACTAAATTCCTTTTAGCCTACTTAAATTCCTTTGAAATTTGAAGCAATCAAACAACCGAGGTTGTTGCTCTCTTGACCGGGATTTGGAAGGGTACTTATTCCTCAATTCCAAAGTCAGGTTATTATGGAAGCCTTAGAGCACTTGACACAATAAAGTGTTATTATTCTTTTCTCCATGAGGATTCATTGCACAGTGGCCTAACTTTATTCAGCAGCCTCTCATAACCTAAAGATGAAAACTGAACTTCATTTTCAATGTTTTAGCATCATCTAATTATGAATGTCTAGGTGGCTCGTCCTTTCTTCAACATAGTACATGGGCATGCATCATGAAACCCTTATGTGCCATTCCTTTACGTCACTTGTTCATAGATGTTCAATGCAATTCTATTACTAAAACTTAGTTATATTCAATCTTTAAAGCATATCTATACCAATTTTGTTTCTCATTCTTCATTAATTTTAACAGGTATTTGAGTGCATCCATCTAAGCCCAAAATATGGGAGGTGGTGATAAACATAAGCAGGGTCATGGAGGCCCGGAAGAGACTAGTGACAAGGGCTTCTTCTCAAACCTCACTCATGGGATGTCTGGGTATCCCCCAGGAGGCCATTATCCTCCTGCTCCGGGTGCTTATCCTCCACAAGGGTACCCTCCATATCAGGGTTATCCCCCTCAGGGTTATCCTCCACAACCAGGATACCCCCCTCAGGGTTATCCTCCACAACCAGGATACCCACCTGCAGGGTATCCACCTGGCCATTACCCAGGCCCATCTGCTCCACCACATGGTATGCTTCTCTATTGGTCTTTTTTTTTTGTGTGATAATTCTGGTCCTCAAGGTTATTTTTTTATTTTGGGGATTAGTTGGTTCTTAGATCATTAGCATATGGCTGCTACAAAATATACGAATGAATAATGGTAATGGCTACTATATAATCCAATGGTTGATGGCAAACTTTGATCTATTGAGTCGTAATCATCCACCAATTGATTTGATGGCAGCAATGGAAATAGTGGGATCCACCACTCATTTACGTGCATACTGCTAGATACTTGTGATCATGGCCATTGGAGTAACCACGTTTCTGAAGTACATCTTGATGACACAGAAAAATTATCTGAAGTCTGGGATCACATGTTTTATCATGATGTTTGAATAATTTGTCTAGAATTCCCAAGAATCCTTTTCTGATTGAGATTTCTATTTCTAGTTCTTTTGAGTTCCATTTATTGCATTGGGGCAAAACTTGGGAAACACTTCCAATCTTGCTATGAAGACGTTTTTTTGATGTGTCGTTTGTGCTTGCATGTTCTCTTGTTGAGTTGTTGTTTGACCAGAATTTCTAGTGATCCTTTTGTTTTTCATGGTTGATTTCTGTAAATCTCATTTCTTGCTTTTCTTAATAGCGTCTTAAGTTTTATATGCCCAAGTAATCGGCAAGGGATTGTCATGACTGAACGTTGTTTATAATCTCACTTATACCCTTAACTACCTCATGTTGACAGGAAAGCTTTTCAAATTCTTGAGTCAGTAAACAGCTTTTTTTTGTTTTTAATACGGCTTACTGTTGAGTCATTTTTATGTGTTGGTTAGGCAATTTATCGGTTGATTTTCTCTTATATTCTCAGGAGGGCATGGACTTGGAGGGGTTGGTGGTGCACTGCTAGCAGGGGGTGCAGCAGCTGCTGCAGCTGCTTATGGTGCAAGCCACCATGGTTCCCATACGGGTCATATGGGTTATGGCACCCATGGTGCTTATGGCACCCATGGTGCTCATGGCCACCATGGTAAGTTCAAGCACGGCAAGCATGGCAAGTTCAAGCACGGCAAGTTTGGAAAGCATGGCAAGTTTGGGAAGCATGGAATGTTCGGCGGAGGAAAGTTCAAGAAGTGGAAGTGAGAGTTTGTTGGTGATTACTAATAAGTTGTACTCGGAATACTGCCTAGTTATACCCTACTGGATAACTAGTTTGTGTTAGCTTTTTGGCTTTTTCTTTTGTCTATTGAAGTGCTTCTATACCAGATTGCCACTTTTTTATAGTGGCAACCTCACATACCTCTCGTATTATCTGGTATAACTATCTTGTGGGTTGGAAGAAATATGTGCACATGCCAAACATATTATTGCGATGGGATTCTATGAATTTTCCTCACCTTTGGTTTATATATGCATAGAGGCTGCATAACTCACTTGGAAAGTCTACTTTTGAATGGTGGGTTTGGATATTGATTCTTTCAAACTGATTGTACATAATTATAGTTAATAAATGATTGTTAGCTTAGTTGGAAATGTGTTACTCCCTGCTTTCAGAGTTGGAAATGTGTTCCACACTGTTTTCAGATTGTGAGAGATTGGGTCTTGTATTTCTCTCTCACTCTATTCTCTCTCATTCGCTCTCTACATGGCTTATTTTTCTCTCTCTCTCTCTACATGGCTTATCTTTCTCTTTCTCTCTACATTGCTTATATTTTTCTCTCTCTACATGGCTTATATTTCTCTCTCTCTACATGGCTTATATTTTTCTCTCTACATGGCTTATCTTTCCCTCTCTCTAGTACAACAGCACAAGCATTGAACTTATTATTGTTAATATTTTTTAGATGTGAATTATTTGACTTTCCTAAAAAAAGTACGTGTGCGCAGTTTGAAACTATTTCATCCTCTTTTTTATGTTTAAAGCGGTTTGGAACTACATATTGATTTTTTTTTAATATCATGTTTGGTTCGCATGAAATTGTTATCTAAATAACATTTTCATAAAAGTATGATCTCACGCTGTCAAGTATGGGAATATTTTTAGGGAAATGACCGTGTGAGACCTTCCCACATCCATATGTGTAAGACCCTAAATGATCACCATTAAATTTAGCATAGATATCTAGAAAAGTCAAGTCCCACACTAATTTTTCTAGAGATCTGTGCTAAATTTAAAGTTGATCATTTTGGGTCCTATACACATGGGTGTGGGAGGGTCTTGTAGGATCATTAATCATATTTTTATATAAATTATTTGCTAATTGGTGTAAAAAGGTTCACTAAGACCAATTGGTATGAAAATATTTTTACTTTTGACTGCATGAGATATTTTTTCATATGAAAATATTTTGTAGAAAACAATTTCATACAAACCAAACGTGTTAAATGTTTGGGCGGATTGAATATACAACTTTCGTGCTGAGTTCGACTTTCAAACAACGCTTTTTGTCATAAAAAATCGATAGGAGATCTTGCTCTCCAACCAAAATTTGATTAAAAAAATAAATAACAAGTTTCAAACTTAGAATATGAAATTTATTGGGTAAAAATGAATAAAACTTCGAACCTCATCATAAAATATCTCTTAATATAGACCACTTTGTAATACCTAAAGGTTTTGGTCACATAGTGAAAATAAGTGAAATGAGTTTTATCCTAAATATCTTCCAAATAAATATCATAAAAGCCATTGTGTGATGGACGGTGATGGATTGTACACCCAACTTATATTGTGTTCGTTGATGCTTTCCCTAAAAAAATATGGGAAAATATCTCTATATTTTATATTTTTAGGTTTCATTTCACAATAGACTAAATGTTTAAAAATATATTTTAAGATATAAAAAATGTAGATTTTATTTTTTCTAACCCCTAAGCTAATTTAAACATTTTTTTTTAGGCCAAACAAATTTTAAAAGACATATTTTTCTAAATGGTGCCGTTTCTATAAGGCTACAACTTTAAACAATCCAATTAAGGCTCACCTTAAAATTTGATCATAACATATAATTTTGCTGTAAATAAATCATAATATTATCTTAAAATCTATTTTTATATCTAATTAGAAAATTTTAAATTCCAAAAATATTTAAAATTAAGTAGATCCATAAATATATGAAAATATTGAAAATGAACGGTCTAAATAATGTGTTGCAAGATGCATTATTTATGAGACTCAATTTTTTTTTTTTTATATATTCGTACATCTCAATGTCGAGATGATAAATTAGAGTGTTTTTTTAATATTAAAGCAACGTTTTCAATAGATTTTTGAGGTGCACCTATGATTCTACATTTTACCGTTGCATCTTCATATAAACTTTTTTTTCTTTTTAGAAGCCTTATTTCCAAACTTTTATAGAAAGAGAAAGGCTTTATGGAGGTGAGAGGTTATCGGAAAAGAGAGACGTGTTTGAAAAAACACCGGGAAAAGAGAGACGTGTTTGAAAAAACACCGAAACAGAGAGAGTAATTATAAAAGATAAGTGAAGACATAGAAATGAATGGGTTTAGGAGATTGAAGGCGGCAATGAGTTGTGAAGATATTTTCTAAAAAATAGTAGCCGACGACGTGGAGAGAATCTAGAAGCTTTAGCGGTTGCGTTGCCACAACGCCTCCGAATCCTAATAGAACCACCTTGGACTCTGACCCTTTCTCGACCGTTTATTTTTATAGAATCGCTAATCCGTAGCCGTCCATTGCAACCCATGCTCTCTATAAATAAGGCGTCGTAGACCTCTCATTTAATCTCGTTTGCGTTGGTGTTCGGTGTCCTTTTTCCGTGTCTTTTTCTTTTGTTTTAGGGTTTTTCTTGGTTTAGGGTTTCGAATGTGTTCTTGATCTGGTTTTAGGATTTTGAAGGTGTTTTTGATTTGTGAACTTCTGTGATTTGTTCTGGCGTTTCTTGATTCTGGGGTTTCTTGATTTTAATTTCGGTATTTTTTGTTCTGGGATTTCTTGATTTTAATTTCCTATTTTTTTAAGAGGTAGCTGTAAGTTTATGTGATTTTAATTTCGGTATTTTTTTTTAGGAGGTATCTGTAAATTTCTGTGATTTCACGTGTGTTCTTATTTGTTTTGGATTCTTTGTTTTACTCTGTTTTACAAAGGTTCTTCTTTTATGCAGCAATCTTGGACCCTCTTCTATTTTTGACTTTTATTTTAGAGTTTGCGTGTTCTATGGGATCCTTGTTTGCGTGTTCCATGGGATCCTTGTTTGTATTGGAGTCTTTTAGGGTAACGTGGGGGGTTTGTAGAGTGATGGTTCCATTTTTCTTTTAGATTTATTTGAGATCTTACAAGAATGTGCAGTTGAGGGATCTAAGCTCATCCAAGTTCTGTAAGATAATTGATTCTCTGTAACATAAGCTCTTTGTTGCTTCTATGCAGTAATTGAGACTTCCGATTCTTCTTTTATGTCCTCCGAATCTTCTCTGGTATTCTTTCTTGGTGATTGGCACCAGTTTAATTGGTGCTGGTGAGCTGTTTTGTGAAATTGGTGATGTTGGGTTCCTTTTGTTTGAATTTCAAGATCTTTTGTCTCGGAGTTTTGAGGTCTTGTGGTGGTGGTGGTTTATGTAATTGGAATAATTCTATGCTGGGTTTTGATGTCCAGAATTCAAGAGCTGTACTCTGGGTTATTTGCATTCAATTTGATGCCTATGGAATAATTCTATGCTGGGTCTTGAGAAAGTGGTGATGATCTGCAAATTTTTTCCTCCTTTAGGGGACCAAGGCAAATCTAAAGGGGTTTTATTTATTTTGCTATGCTGGATCGGTTTGATTTCAGATGGTATTATTCTATTTAGTCATTGTTGTGACTTGTCTACATATGCAGCTCAGTTGATGGGTTGAAGCGCATGTCATTGCAATGATAGGAACTGTGTCGAAGTGCTCTTCTCAATCCATGATTATCTCAAATGATGGATTCTCAGTTGATTGGGCTTCGGGGAAACCGTTATCGCCATTTGGCCTTGGTTCGCAGATGGTCGTCATGTTTTGGGGAAAACAGGTTTCCATTTTGATTTGAAGACGAGTTCCAATTCTTTTAATTGTGGTGGCATGTATTAAGTTGTATGGTGACTAAGTTATCTCTGTCTGCTTTTTTGGGATGTCTGGTAATTCTTTTGCATGATTTCGTGAAGGTAACTTGGTGGAATGCTCCAGTGCATGTACAACGAAAGTTTGGTTTCTCATATCTCACTCGAATCTGAATCTAGAAATTGGGTACAGTTTGAATTAGGACTTGCTGGGGCCGAATCACTATTTTACAAGATATGCGATTGACTTGGTTTGATATTAATGAATATTGTCTCAGTTGTTAAAATTTTGTGCCCTTAGGTGCTGTGACATGTTTCTCATGGAGGCAATGATGCAGGCATGGATGGTACTATTTTGATGTTCCTTCTGAGATTGCTGGTTTCTTTCTTCTCGTGTTGAACTATTTTGTATCAGTTGCATTTACTTTATTGGATCATTGGCGCTAATCTTGAAGAGTATATGAACTAGAGAGTATGTGAACTAGCTATTTTGACTGGATTGGTTCTGGAGTTGTGTCATGGCCATAGCAATTTATTGTAGTTATTTTGGGGGATATACTGAATTCACTCACTTTTAGTTATATGCATTCTGCTTAGGTTTTTTATTTGGTACTTGCGGCTTTTCGGAATGGTTGAAGATGGTCATGCCAGATTGCAATCACAACTTAAATTGGGGTTTTCTCTAGTTTTGGACAGCTTTCATGTTACCTTCCTTTGTATTCCAGCTTGAATTCGACATTTTCAGTTCAGTTTAAATTTGGAGTTTTGGAGATGAGTCGTCATTATTGTTATATGTTGGGGTATTTGATTATGTGTATCAAAGATTTGAAGAAAGGTGTCTGTTTTCTGGTTCAATCAGATGAGGTCTGTTTCTCAAATTAAATCACACCAGTGTGATTCATTCGAACATGAAGCCTGAAGAGATGGTCTTAGGTCGGATTATTGGTTTCGTTTTATTTGATTTGTTGTTTAGTCTTAATTTCTGGAGGCATCTACTATTAAATTCTCTGCTTCTGATGTCTATTATGTCTAGGTACCATGGCAATCCTACCGTCCTTTTTGGCTAATTAATGGATGCAAAGTTCTTGTTTCTGGGTTGTGTGGGCCTTGATATTTTATTTCTTCGATGCCTCTTTTTTTTGGCTTGATTTTGTTATACAAACTCCAAATTGCTTTTGGGTTGTTTATAGTCAACTTGGGGAAGAAAGCACATATTGGAAGGGCTTATTTCGTCTATATAGCGATCAGTATGGATTCTAAATTGTTTTATTTTTATTTCTGCCATTGTGACCTGGAGATGTTCTATCTGAATTTGGAGCTTCTTAAATGAGCTAAAGATTTGTTATTTGTTTTGGGGAAAATTTCCTCCTATTTACCTTTATCGCTGAATGTTTTTAAATTGGTGGTATTGGTATGGAACTATATGACTAAAGTCCTTATTACTTCAAGTTTGCAGTTTTGATACCGCGGGGCTAGTAGTTTGTCAAATCGCATCGCATTGTTGCCATTGCTCTGCATTGTCCTAGAATTAATCTGGTGTTCCTAGTGGTGTTCAATGTTGGTCCTTGCTGTTCCGGATTTTGGATCTCTCTTGTTCAATTCAAAACCAACGAGTTTGTCAAATTGCATCGCATTGTTGCCATTGCTCTGCATTGTCCTAGAATTAATCTGGTGTTCTTAGTGGTGCTCAATGTTGGTCCTAGCTGTTCCGGATTTTGGATCTCTCTTGTTCAATTCAATACCAGCGATTGTTTGTATGTTTCTTCTTTCTAGGTTTTCTCCGTTCTGTTTTTTGGTTTTATTTGTTCCTTAGTGACCATTCATAGGTTCTCTTATTGTCCTCTTATGATTCATGTATTAGTGTTGTGGCGTCCGGGCATGTATTTTTTAACTAATGTGTTCTATTTTTATAATCTTTTTTGCTTTGTGCTTTTCCTGATTGTTCAACGCACTTGAGTTTTATTGTAACTATGCGCTTTTCTTTGTCTTTTCACTCTTTGGGTTTCTGAACAAGTTGCTAATGGGGGGGGGTTTTTCATTTTGTAATTAATTTTTGGGTGGATCTCTCATCCCATTTATTGTGGGGTTTCTTAATTTTTTAGGGAGGATCTATCCTTCTTGATTCTTGAATTAATTTGGTTTCTTGGAAATTGAAAGCATGAGAATCTCCCCCTTCACGCACTTGTAATTTTTTGTAGAGGCCCTCTCATTTTTTTGATATTTTGTGCCTTGGGTATTAGTTTGGTACAGTGATATACTTTTGCTCTTTGTTTGTAAATGTTTATATGTTGATTGTGAAGTCTTAGTTTGCATTGATTGTTCTCCTTAGGTAACATAGTGATTTCCCTTTGTACTCGGTGGTACACATTGGACTGTTTCAAGTTTGCTGTTTAGCAGTGTGGTTTGATTTATCTTGACCCAACCCAACTTTGGACCTTCTTTCTTGTTAGCTAGCCTAGAGTTGCTCTTTGTTGATTATATGATGAATGTGTCCTGGCAATGTTGTAGGTGGGGAAGCTACAGATTGATTGGTTGTTTGTCCAATGGGCTCCATGGCATACGGCTGCTGGGTGGGCTTTGTTTGGTATGGTTTAATTTTAGTCTCCTGGCGACGATGTAGGTGGGGGAGCTATATATCGATTGGTTGGTTGCCCAATGGGCTCCATGGCATACGGCTGCGGTGTGGGCTCTGTTTGGTATGTTATAATTTTAGTGAAGTGTTTTGGATCTCTTAGAGGTATACACTGGCTGTTCTTATGTTGGGGGTTTATGCTGCATCATGGTGCTAGCAACCATATTGTTAGCTGATTTGTATTTCAATTTCCTGTTGCATTTTTTTGGATGGCTGGCACTTAGGTTTCTATATGCTCTCCGATTGGAACATGTGGACAAAATTAGGTGATGAGAGTGACAGAAACATTCAAATCCAAAACATTGTGTACCATTTATAGAGCTCTGGTGAATGGGTGTAAGTTATCCTGGATATCTTTGGATTGTCAATTTCATTGATATATTATATACTGGCTTTCTGCCTGATCTACGAGGTGTCTAGGTAGTTCCTTCTTGTGTCTTGTAACAGTGAGGACCAGGAGTGCCAACACACATGGAATGGGGACGGACGGGTTCATGGGATTATTAATTGAGAACTTGTTGCAAATTGAAAGATGGTTTGATCCTGTGCCTCTTGCCTTGACTTATGCGAATGGGGACGGGTTCACAGGGTTATTAATTGAGAACTTGTTGCAAAGTGGTTTGATCTGTGCCTCTTGCCCCGTCTTATGTGAATTGCAGTTTCTTCTTGCTGTCTAGCCTAGAGTTGCTCTTTGTTAATTATATAATGATACCCTTGCATCCTGGCGATGCTGTAGGTGGGGGAGCTATATATCGATTGGTGGCTTTCCCAATGCTCTATTTGGTATGTTTTAATTATTGTGAAGTGTTTTGGATCTCTCAGAGGTATATACATTGGCTGTTTGTAAAAGCACTCTAGAGGGCTTTGCTCGTGTTTGGATTTCAGTTTCTTGTTGCATTTTGTTGGATGGCTGGCAGTTAGGTTAGGTTTCTATGTGCTTTCTGACGGAAACATGTGGACGGTATGAGGTGACGAGAGGCCAGGAACATTCAAATGTCAGAAGCATCGCGTACCATTTATGGAGCTCTGGTGAATGGGCGTAAGTTATCCTCAATATATTTGGATGCCAATTCATTGATAATGCATTATATACTAGCTGTCTACCTGATCTACGATGTGTCTGGGTAGTTCCCTAGTGGTGTATCAGGAGTTGCAACACACCTAGAATAGGGATGGGTGCACAAGATTATTAATTGAGAACTGGTTTCAAAGGGAAAGATGGTTTGATATGTGCCTCTTGCCCTCACCTATGTGAATCGCAGTTTTCTGAGTTGTTTTAGTGGTGGTGTGATCAATACGTTCTGGTCACTTTTTATTTTTAGACGGAATGAGGATAAATAGCTACATGAGATATGCATTAATTCGTTTTTCAGAGATCGGAGGTGGAAGAGAAGGGATTTGGTGACGTCGTGCATTCACTCTTCGTGGTTCCTTTTATGCAGTATTTTCTTTAGCTGATTTGCCTGTAGGAGCCGTTTCTTTACATGATACTATTTTTTATCTTTAATGAAGCTCTTGACAAATATGTTGTGTTTTGTTCTTTAGTATCTTGACTTTTCCTCTATATTCTATGATTCTTATTTGCCTTGATATTTGTGTTCTCAGATATCATCTTTAGTTTAAACACATTTTCTTTTCTTTATCACCCCTTTTTTTGGTTTTTTTTTTTTTTGCTGGTGGGGGGGGATGTTAGGTTGTTTTTGGGTGGAATCAGTTTGGTGCAGTGATATACTTATGCTATTTGTTTGTAAATGTTTATATGTTGATTGTGAATTCTTAGTTTTCATTGATTGTTCTTCTTAGGTACCATGGTGATTTGCCCTTGTAATCGGTGGCACACATTGGACCGTTATGAGTTTGTTGTCACGCAGTGTGGTTTGATTTATCTGGACTCAACTTTGGACCTTTCTTGTTGTCTAGCCTTGAGTTGCTTTTTGTTGATTATATGGTGACACTTTTGCATCCTGGCAACCCTGTAGGTGGGGGAGCTATACATAGATTGGTTGTTTGCCCAATGCTCTATTTGATATGTTTTAATTATAGTGAAGTGTTTTGGATCTCTTAAAATACACTGGCTGTTGTTGTGTTGGGGCTTTAGGCTGCATCATGGTGCCAGCATACATACTGCCAGCTGATTTTCAGTTTCGTGTTGCATTTTGTTGGATGGCTGCCAGAGTTAAGTTTCTACATGGTTTCGGATTGGAACATGTGGACAGTTTGAGGTGACGAGAGTGCCAGGAACATTCAAATGCCAAAAAGATTGTTTACCAGCTACAGAGCTCTTATGAATGGGTGCAAGTTATCCTTGATATCTTTGGATGTCAATGCCATTGATAATATATTCTATATTAGCTTTCTACCTGATCTTCGAGGTCTCTGGGTAGTTCCATGTTTGGTGTCTAACCGTGACTCTCCATTGGTGGAATGGGGATGGGTGCATAGGGTTATCAAGTGAGAACTGGTTGCGAAGTGAAAGATGGTTTGATGTGTTCCTAATTCCCTGACTTATGTATATTCTTGTTGTCTGAGGTTTTTAGTGTCGATTTGATATTTATGTTTACTTCTAGTCACCTTTTGTTTTGAGATGGAATGAGGATGAAAAGTCACCTGAGCTATGAATTTATTGGTTTTTCAGAGATTGGAAGTGGAAGAGAAGGGATTTGGTGATGTCCATACACTCGTTACTTTTTTATTGGTGGTTCCTTTTATGCAGAATTTTCTTTGGCTGATTTGCATGTAGGAGCCGTTGTGTTTTCATACAGTGATATAGTTTTGCTCTGTTTGTAAATGTTTGTATGTTGATTGTGAAGTCTTTGTTTGTTTTGATTGTTCTCCTCAGGTACCATGGTGATTTGCCCATGTAGTCGGTGGCACACATTGGACTGTTTCGAGTTTGTTGTCTAGCAGTGTGGTTTGATTTATCTGTACTCTACTTTGGACCTTCTTTCTTGTAGTCTAGCTTAGTGGTTCTTTTTGTTAATTATATGATGATACTCTTGCGTCCTGGCATTGTTGTAGGTCGGGTATATAGATATCGATTGGTTGTTTTGCCAATGGGCTCCATGGCAAATGGCTGCTTGGTGGGCTTTATTTGGTATATTCACTGGCTATCGTTATGTTGGGGGTTTAGGCTACATCATGGTGCTAGCAACAATATTGCCAGCTCATTTGTATTTCAGTTTCTCGTTGCATTTTGTTGGATGGCTGGCAGTTTGGTTTCTATGACATGTGGACAGTATGAGGTGATGAGAGTGCCCTGAACATTTAAATGTCAGAAATTTCATTGACCATTTATAGAACACTGGCAAATGGGTGTAAGTTATCCTTGATGTCTTTGGATGTCAATTTCATTGATGATACATTCTATATTGGCTTTCTGCCTGATCTATGAGGTGTTCGGGTAGTTCCTTTTTTGGTGTCTGTAACAGTGACTCTCCAATGGTGGACCAGGGGTGCAACACATGGAATGGGGACTGGTGCATAGGGCTATTAATTGAGAACTAGTTGCAAACTAAAAGATGGTTTGATCGTTGCCTCTTGCCTTGACCTATTTTAATTGCAGTTGTTTGAGGTATTCAATATTGGTTTGACCTATACATTCTTCTAGTCACATTTTGGTTTGAGATGGAATGAGGAAGAAAACTCACATGAGTATGCGTTTATTGGTTTTTCAGAGATCAGAGGTGGAAGAGAAGGGATTTGGTGTCGATGAATATTCTTACTTTTTTATTGGTGGTTCCTTTATTGCAGTATTTTCTTTAGCTGATTTTCCTTTAGGAGCTGGTGCATGATGTTCACTGTTCAGGATGCTATTTTTTCTCTTTTTATCACTAGGTGGGGAAGCTACATAGCGATGGGTTGTTTGCCCAATAGGCTCCATGGCATATGGCTGCTGGATGGGCTTTGTTGGTATATTTTAATTATGGTCTCTTGGGGACGCTGTAGGTGGGCGGGCGATATATCAATTGGTTGTTTGCCCAATAGGCTCCATGGCATACGGCTGCTGGGTGGGCTCTGTAGGTATGTTTTAAATTATAGTGAAGTGTTTTGGATCTCTCAGAGGTATATACACTGGCTGTTGTTATATTGGGGGGTTTAGGCTGCATCATGGTGCTAGCAACCATGTTGTTAACTGATTTGTATTTTAGGTTCCTGTGGCATTTTGTTGGATGGCTGGCAGGTAGGCTTCTATTTTCTCTCTGATTGGAACATGCGGAGAAAATGACTTGGCAAGTGACAAGAAACATTCAAATGTCAGAAACATCGGGTACCATTATAGAGCTCTGGTGAATTGGCGTAAATTATCCTTGATATCTTTGGATGTCAACTTCATTGATGATACATTCTATGCTGGCTTTCTGCCTAATCTAAAGGTGGCTTTTTGCATATTCTGCAACGTGTTTTGGTAAGCTCCATCTTTTGTGTCTTGTAACAGTGAGGACTAGGAGTGCCAACTCACATGGTATAGTGATGGGTTCACGTGATTATTAATTGAGAACTTGTTGCAAAGTGAAAGATAGTTTTGTGCCTCTTGCTCAGCTTATGTTAATGGGGATGGGTTCACAGGGTTATTAATTGAGAACCTGTTGCAACATGAAAGATGGTTTGATTTGTGCCTCTTGCCTTGACTTACGTGAATTGCAGTTTCTTCTTGCTGTCTAGCCTAGAGTTGCTCTTTTTTAATTATATGATGATACTCTTGCGTCCTGGCGATGCTGTAGGAGGGGAACCTATGTATCGATTGGTGGTTTTCCCAATGCTCTATTTGGTATGTTTTAATTATATTGAAGTGTTTTTGATCTCTCAGAGGTATATACACTGGCTATTGTTATGTTGGGTGTTTAGGCTGCATCATGGTGCTAGCAACAACTTTGTCTGCTGATTTGTATTTCAGTTTCTTGTTGCATTTTGTTTGATGGCTGGTAGTTTGGTTTCTATATACTTTCTGACCGGAACATGTGAACAGTATGAGGTGACGAGAGTGCCAGGAGCATTCAAATGTCAGAAACATCGCGTACCATTTATAGAGCTATGGTTAATGGGCGTAAGTTATCCTCAATGCATTTGGATGTCAATTCATTGATAATACATTCTATATTAGCTGTCTGCCTGATCTACAAGGTGTTTGGGTAGTTCTATCTTTGGTGTTCGTAACAGTGACTCCTTAGTGGTGGACCAGGAGTTTCAATACGCCTGGAATCGTGACGGGTGCACAGGATTATTAATTGAGAATTGGTTTTGAACGGAAAGATGGTTTGATCTGTGCCTCTTGCCCTCACCTATGGGAATAACATTGTTTTGAGTTGTTTGGTGTTGGTTTGATCTTTACATTCTTCTATTGTCACCTTTTAGTTTGAATGAGGAAAAGTTACCTGAGATATGCATTTATTTGTTTTTCCGAGATCAGAGGTGGAAGAGAAGGGATTTGATGACATCGTGCAGTCACTCTTGGTGGTTCCTTTTATGCAGGATTTTCTTTAGCTGATTTGCCTGTAGGAGCCGTTGCTTTACAGGAATCTATTTTTCTCTTTTGTTAAAATCTTGACATTGTGTTGTGTTTTTTTTCTTCAGCATTTGGGCTTTTCCTCTATAAATCATCAATTTCAATGATGATTTATTCTATATTAGCTTTCTACCTGATCTTTGAGGTTTCTGGGTTGTTCCATCTTTGGTGTCTGTAACAGGAGTGCACATACACACATGGAATGGGGACGGTGCACAGGGTTATTAAGTTTGAACTGGTAGGTTTGATCTGTGCCTCTTTCCCTGACTTGTGTGTATTCCTATTTGAGTTCTATAGTGTCGGTTTAATATCTATACATTCTTCTAGTCACCGTCTGTTTTGAGATGGAATGAGGATGAAAAGTCACCTGAGATATGTATATATATTGGTTTTTCGTAGATTGGAGGTGGAAGCGACAGGATTTGGTGACATCCATTCACTCTTACTTTTTTATTGGTGGTTCCTTTTGTGCAGGATTTTCTTTAGCTGATTTGCATGTAGGAGCTGTTGTATATTGGTTCAATGATATACTTTTGCTTTATTTGTATATGTTTATATGTTGATTGTGAAGTCTTTGTTTGCGTTGATTGTTCTTCTTAGGTACTATGGTCATTTGCCCATGTAATCAGTGGCACACGTTGGACTGTTTCGAGTTTGTTGTCTAGCAGTGTGGTTTGATTTATCTATACTCTACTTTGGACCTCCTTTCTTGTTGTCTAGCCCAGTGGTCCTTTTTGTTAATTATATTTTGATACTCATGTGTCCTGGCGATGCTGTAGGTGGGGTATCTATATATCGATTGGTTGTTTGCCCAATGGGCTTCATGGCAAATGGCTGCTGGGTGGGATTTGTTCGGTATATTCATTAGCTATTTTTTTTGTCATCATGGTGCTAGCAGCAATATTGTCATGGCAAATGGCTGCTGGGTGGGATCTGTTCGGTATATTCGTTAGCTATTTTTTTATCATCATGGTGCTAGCAGCAATATTGTCAGCTCATTTGTATTTCAGTTTCTTGTTGCATTTTGTTGGGTGGTTGGCGGTTAGGTTTCTATATGATTTCTGACTGGAACATGTGGGCAGTTTGAGGTGACGAGACTGCCATGAACATTCAAATGTCAGAAACATCGTGTACCATTTATAGAAGTCTGGTGCATGGGCGTAAGTTATCCTTGATGTCTTTTTATGTCAATTTCATTGATGATACATTTCTATATTGGCTTTCTGCCTGATCTACGAGGTGTTTGGGTAGTTCCATATTTGGTGTCTGTAACAGTGACCCTCTAGTGGTGGACCAGGCGTGCCAACACACATGGAATGGGGACGGGTGCATATGGCTATGAATTGAGAACTAGTTGCAAAGTGAAAGATGGTTTGATCTGTGGCCTCTTATCCTGACCTATGTTAAGTGCAGTTGTCTGAGGTATTCAGTGTTGGTTTGATCTATACGTTCTAGCCACCTTTTGGTTAGACATGGAATGAGGATGAAAAGTCACCCGAGGTATGCATTTATTGGATTTTCAGAGATCGGAGGTGGAAGAGAAGGGATTGGGTGTCGATGTCCATTCTTACTTTTTTATTGGCGGTTCCAATCTTGTAGGATTTTCTTTAGTTGATTTGCCTTTAGGAAGCGGTGTTTGTTTCTTCAGTATTTGGGCTTTGCCTCTACATCCTATCTTTATTATTTGCCTTGAAATTTGTGTTTGTCCAGTCAGATATCATCTTTGGCTTCAAAACATTTTCTTTTCTTTTTGTCCCCCCCACCGCCCTCTTTTTTTTGTGGTGTGGGGGATGTTGGGGGTTTTTTGGGCGGAATCAGTTTGGTACAATGATATACTTTTGCCCTTTGTTTGTAAATGTTTATATGTTGATTGTGAAGTCTTAGTTTTCATTGTTTGTTCACGTTAGGTACCATGCTGGTTTGCCCTTGTAAATGGTGGCACACATTGGACTGTTTCGAGTTTGTTGTATCACAGTGTGGTTTGATTTATCTGGACTCTACTTTGGAACTTCTTTCTTGTGGTCTAGCCTAGAGTTGCTCTTTGTTGATTAGGTGATGATACTCTTTTGTCCTGGTGATGCTGTAGGTGGGGGAGCTGTACATCGATTGGTTGTTATGCCCAATGCTTTGGTATGTTTTAATTATAATTGAAGTGTTTTGGATCTCTCAGGTATATACAGGTGTATACACTGGTTGTTGTTATGTTAGGGGTTTAGGCTGCATCATGGTGCTGGCAACCATATTGTCAGTTGATTTGTATTTCAGTTTTATGTTGCATTTTGTTGGATGGTTGTCAGTTTCTTTTCTATATGCTTTCTGACTGGAACATGTGGACAATAAGTATGAGGACTGGAACATGTGGACAATAAGTATGAGGTGACGAGAGTGCTTGGAACATTCAAATGTCAGAAACATTGTGTATCAATTATAGGGGTTCTGGTAAATGGGCATAAGTTATTTTTGATATCTTTGGATGTCAATTTTATTGATGATACATTCTTAGTTTTCTGCCTGATCTTTGAGGTGTCTGGGTAGTTCCATCATTTGTGTCTGTAACAGTGACTCTCCAGTGGTGGACTAGGAGTGCCAACACACATTGAATGGGGACGGGGGTGCACAGGTTTATTGATTGGAAACTGGTTCAAAGTGAAAGATGGTTTGATCTGTGCCTCTTGTCCTGACTTATGTGAATTGCAGTTGTCTGAGTTGTTTAGAGTTAGTTTGATCCATACGTTCTTCTGGTCACATTTTAGTTTGTTGGAATGAGGATTAAAAGTCACCTGAGATATGCATTTGGTGATGTTGTCCATTCACAATTACTTTTTCAGGGATCGAAGGTGGAAGAGAAGGCATTTGGTGATGTTGTCCATTCACTATTACTTTTTCTTGGTGATTCCTTTTATGCAGGATTTTCTTTCGGTTATTTGCCTGTATGAGCCGTTGTATACGGGATACTATTTTCTCTTTATTAGTCTCTTGACAATATGCTGTGTTTGTTTATTTGCTATCATGGCTTTGCCTGTCTTTTATGTTTATTATTTGCCTTGAGATTTGTGTTTATGCAATTAGATTATCATCTTTAGCTTCAACACATTAGCTTTTCTTTTCTTTTTCCCCCCTCTTTTTTTGTTGGGGGGTGAGAGGGGGGGGGGGGATGTTGGGCTGTTTTTTGGCTGAATCAGTTTGGTGCACTGATATACTTTTGCTCTTTGTTTGAAAGTGTTTATATGTTGATTATGATGTCTAGTTTGCATTGATTATTCTCCTTAGGTACCATGGTGGTTTGTCCATGAAATCGTGGCACACATTGGACTGTTTCCAGTTTGTTGTCTGGAAGTGTGGTTCGATTTATGTGGACTCGACTTTGGACCTTCTTTCTTGTTGTCTAGCCTAGACTTTTTTTTTTTTAATTATATGATGATACTCTTGCGTCTTGGCGATGCTGTAGATGGGGGAGCTATATATTGATTGGTTGGTTGCTCTATGGGGTCCATGTCATAGTGCTGCGGGGTGGCTCTATTTGGTATGTTTTAATTATAGCGAAGTATTTTTGATCTCTCAGAGGTATATGCATTGGCTTTTGTTATGTTGGGGGTTTAGGCTGCATCATGGTGCTAGCAAGCATATTGTTGGCTGATTTGTATTTCAGTTTATTGTTGCATTTTGTTGGATGGCTGTTTCTATACGCTTTCTCACTAGAACACATGGACAGTATGAGGTAATGAGAGCGCTAGGAAAATTCAAATGTCAGAAACATTTTATAGAGCTCTAGTGAATGGACGTGTAAGTTACTCTTGCTATCTTTGGATCTCAACTTCATTGATGATACATTCTATATTGGCTTTCTGCCTGATTTATGAGGTGCATATGTAGTTCCTTCTTTGGTGTATGTAACAGTGAATCTCCAGTGGTGGACTTGGAGCGCCAACACACATGGAATGGGGACGGGTGCACAAGGTTATTAATTGAGAACTGGTTGCAAAGTGATAGATGGTTTGATCTGTACCTCTTGCCTTGACCTATGTGAATTGCAGTTGTCTGAGTTGTTTAGTGTTGGTTTGATTTATACGTAACTTCTAGTTGCCCTTTTGGTTTGAGGTGGAATTAGGATGAATAGTCACATGAGATGCACATTTATTGGTTTTTCAGAGATTGTAGCTGGAAGAGAAGGGATTTGGTGCCATTGTCCATTCACTCGTTACTTTTTTATTGGTGGTTCCTTTCTTGTAGGACTTTCTTTTATTTGATTTGCCTGTAGGAGTTGTATATTAGTCCATTACTATACAATATACTACTCTTTCTCTTTTATTTAGCTCGTGTTTGTTTCTTTGGTATCTCGCCTTTGCCTCTTTATTCTATGTTTACTATTTACCTTGAGATTTGTCTTTGTATAGTTAGATGCCTTTGCCTCTTTATTCTATGGTTACTATTTACCCTGAGATTTGTGTTCGTCAATTCAGGAATCTGATGAGAAGTTAGGTTTTTATATGCTTTGTGACTGGAACATATGGAGAGTAGTGACGTGACGAGTGCTAGGAACATTCACATGTCAGAAACATTGTGTTGCATTTATAGATCTCTGGTGAATGGGCATAACTTATCCTTGATATCTCTGGATGTCAATTTCATTGTTGATACATTCTATATTGGCTTTTTGCTTTATCTATGAGGTGTCTGGGTAGTTCCATCTTTGGTGTCTGTAACAGTGAGTGGTGGACCCGGTAGCGCCAACACACATGGAATGGGGATGGGTGCACAGGAATATTAATTGAGAATTGGTTCCAAAGTGAAAGAGTTGCAAAGTAAAAGATGGTTTGATCTGTGCCTCTTACCCTGACCTATGTGAATTTCAGTTGTCTGAGTTGTTTAGTGTTGGTTTGATCTATACATTCTTCTAGTCACCTTTTGGCAATTAATCAATGTTCTCTGTAGATTTTGAGATGGAATGAGGATGAAACGTCACCTGAGATATGCTTCTATTGGTTTTTCAGAGATTGGAGGTGAAAGAGGAGGGACTTGGTGATGTTGCCCTTTTTTATTGGTGGTTCCTTTTATGCAGGATTTTCTTTAGCTGATTTGGCTGTAGGAGCCATTGTATATTGGTCCATCACTATGCCGGGTGCTATCTTGTCTCTTTTATTAAGCTCTTGACAGTATGTTGTGTTTATTTATTCTATGGGGATGGGTGCATAGGGTTATTAATTTGAACTATTGCAAAGTGAAAGATGGTTTGATCTATGTGAATTGCAGTTATTTAATTTTTTTAGGGTTGGTTTGATCTATATGTTCTTCTAGTCACTTTTTGGTAATTGATCAATGTTGCTACTCTCTAGATTTTGAGATGGAATGAGGATGAAAATATGCATTTATTGGTTTTTCAGAGATCGGAGGTGGAAGAGAAGGGATTTGGTGACGTCCATTCACTCTTTACTTTTTTATTGGTGGTTCCTTTTATGCAGGATTTTCTTTGCTGATTTGCCTGTAGTAGCCGTTGTAACGGTGGTCCATCACTGTATTGGATGCTATTTTTTCTCTTGTATTAAGCTCTTGACAATAGGCTGTGTTTGTTTCTTCGGCATCTGGCCTTTGACTTGTTTTTCTCTGTTTATTATTTTCCTTGAGATCTGGGTTTGTATAGTTAGATTATCATCTTGCCATCATTATTGATTCGGGGATCTGCTGAGATGTTAGGTTCCTATATGCTTTCTGACTGGAATATGTGGACTGTATGAGGTGACGTGATTGCCAGGAAGCCCCCAATTGTTTTTTTTTTAAGGTTTTGTGATTTTGATTTGGGGTTCTTTTTGGAGGGAAACCGTAAGGTTTGTGATTATGTGTATAATGCGGGAGCTCTCAATTATTTTCCAGCAATTTTTTTATCTGAAGATTGAATCATTATGTGTATCTTGGCGTTCGTTATTTTTGGGGATCTTTTTTTTTGGTTTGGTTCTATTGAGGTTTCTCCCGTTGATCATGCTAGTTTGCTCTGTTCTTCAGTGGGCCAAGTGGGAGTGGATGCGAACTCAAAATCTGTTCGTATTATACTGGCAACAGGACCAAAAGATGCACTCTTGAGAGAGGAACCTCTAGTAAGGGATTTTCTTGGGTATACAGATTTGTTTTGGTTTATTGGTCTTACTCAGATTTGTAATGCTCCTTTTGTATGCATCAACTTATGGCGTTCTTCTGCATGTATTCATGTGCCCTTTACAATTTTAGTCATTTTAGGGTTTCATTGTGGTTTATAGGATGATGGTTCTGTTTTTATTTCATTGTATTTAAGTTGTGGTTTCAAAGGTCGAAGCTAATCTAAGGTGTGTAAGATAATCAACTATAAGTAAGGCTGGCTCTGTTGCCCTATATTCGGGTCTTCCTTTATTAATTGAGTTTACCAATTCTCCAGTTTTACCCCTCCGATTCTTCTTTGGTTTTGTTTCTTGGTGATTGCTTGCAGAGTTTTGGTGAATTTTGTTGACTCCTAATGCGATTGCACTCTGGATGCTCTCTGACTCTCCTCTAGGTGATGATGTCTTATGAAGTTGTTAAAGAGGTTCTTTTTTGTTCAAGCATTGAAAATTGCTCTCGGGTTCTTCTTGGTTATCGATTAGAGAGCTATCATTGTAACCTAACATTATAGTTTGCTTCAGTTGGTGGAGAAATAAGGTTTCATTATCATATTCATTTGCATCGTCGCTGTTTAGCTTATGATGCAATTCTGATGGCAGTTCAGATGCCTAAGTTATTGTGGATCACTTCTGTTGAGTTTGCTGTATCATGTTGTCAAAATTTCAAGATTATTACTTTGGGTTATTTGCAATCAACTTGATCCATGTGGAAATGAACTTGATGCTGATAGTGGTTGAGGTGTTCTGCAACTTGTTCCATTTTGTTAAAGGAAGCAATGCAAATTGGAAGGGTGTTATTTCCTTTAATATTCTGATCAGTTTGATTTCGACTGTTAGTATTACAATTGGTTGTCATGGTTGACTTCTGCATATGCAGATCATGGGATGAGTTGATACACTAGTTGTTGTATTGTCTTCTGGGTGAAGGGCAACATGTTGAAGTGCTTATGTCAAACCATGGATTCCTGATGGTTTGTATTGTTTTGGGAAAACAATTACCTCATCTTGATACGACTTTTTTAATTCCTTTTAGGTGTAGTAGTGATCACTATCACCAATTTTTGGGATCCCCAACATGTTGAAGTACTTATGTCAAACCATGGATTCCTGATGGTTTGTATTGTTTTGGGAAAGCAATTACCTCATCTTGTTGCCACTTTTTAATTCCTTTTAGGTGTAGTAGCAATCACTATCACCAATTCTTGGGATGCCTAATTATAGGGAGTTCGCCTCGATGATTTCATGAGGGGAACTTTGCTGGATGTTGTTGTGCTCCTGACATAAGTTGTTCCGGTATTTGATATCAACCTGGATTTGAATCTGGTTTGCATTTTGGATTGTATTTGGTTTGGTATTGTTTTGGGAGACTTGCATTCGCTTGACTTGCTTTCAGGCCTGTTGAAAGTTCTGTGCTCTAAGGTGCCATGTGATGCTCTCTTATTGGAGGCAATAGTGGAGGCGTACATGGTATTTGTTCGATGTTCCTCTGAGATTTCTGGATTTCTTCTGCTATCTGTTGAATTATTTTATGAGTGACGTCTTTTTTATTGTATCCTTGCTGACCATGACGAGTACAGGAGCTAGTTAGGATTGGTTTTGGAGTTGTGCAAGTTCCAAGATTCGTGTTGTGGCCATAGGTTTTTTTTCTTGTAGTTTTGGTAGGCAGCTGCTTTCGCAGTTTAATTATTCACCCAAGAAAAAAAATCTCAGTTTAATTTGGTTATTTGTTTTTAATTTGTGTTATGATGGGGATATACATTTTTGGTTCATACAACTCGTGATAGTTCATGTGATAGTCATGTAAGAACAATCATCTGCACTTAGTGTTACCACTTGCATCTTTCTTTTATATCTTTGTTATTTGTGTTTCAAAAAATTTTGGAATTCTTTCGATGGTTTTTGTGCCGATATTATCTGTGAACGGAGAAATGTATCCCCGCTAGAGGTTTGGTAGAAGATTGTAGCAGTCTTTTCAACATCAGCTGCATATCCAGTCTTTAGTAATCGTGATATCTGGTATTTGTCTGCTTTTTGACACTTCTTGTCCTAGTTATACTTATGCATGGCAGTATCAGCGCATATGTTCGCGTCAGTTGCACCCTCTTGATGCGTGCTATTCTTGGGTCGGGAAGTTATTCTGCAATCTCAGGATCCAGAGTTGACTGAAACATAGATTGCTCTGCCATTCTTTGTTTGCATCAGTTGCCACTTTTTTCTGTTGGATTCTCCGTTGAGCACACTGGTTTGGGGAAGTTGCTGGCACGATGGAAGGTCTGAATCCATCAAATTTTAATCTTCGGGTCAAGACATTGTGTTAGCATATTGGAAGTAGTTTCTTAGTATTTGATTCTTTTTGAAAATCTGTGAATGACTTGGATTGATTTTGTCTTTGGAGATGAATGCATGGATTGGAATAAAAAAGCGGAGGTATGATGTCTCTAGTCTTCTATCTCTTACACTTGCAGTTCAAAATTTTAAATTTGGTCAAGTTGTTTTATTCTTTATTTTTGTCAAAAGTAAAGGGCCTTATTATGTTGGAATTATGAATGTTTGTTTCGGGTAAAATTTATATTGTATTTTTATAGAAGATTCGAAAGGAGATGCCATTTGTTATGTAGAAGATTTCCAATTGAAGACACCAATCGTGGGATAATTCTTGAATAGTTCTGCATTCGTGAGGGGGGTGTGTAAGAAAAATTTGTCGATTTGTAAGGGTTTTAGTATGCAAATTGCAATCTTAAGCAATTCAATTAAGGCTCACCTCTAAATTTTATCAGAAATGTAATTTTGATAATAATAATATTATTAGGAAGTTTTTTTTCTTCAAAATTTAGATTTAGAGATCCGTTTAAGATCATAAGTAGGGTGTAGTTTTGTATCAATACTATTTTTTTAAAAATAATAATAATATTGATAATAATAATAATTCTTTATAATGTGATGGTCCATATAAGTATTATGGTCTTTAAGGACCATTACCATTTTTGATGACTTTTTCTTTTCTTTAGTTGACGTGGTGCTTAAATGTTTCACGTTCAATAATTTCGTCACACCTAGATTAATAAATAATATAATAGTATGTCTTAAGAATTTAAATAGGAATCTCATATATGAGGTGGAGTTTAATAAATAATATAATAGTACGACTTAATAATTTAAATAGGAGAAGTGAGAGCTTCCACCTTAGAGAATTTTTGTATAAGCTCTCCAATACATTGAAATTTTTCTTTCTCTAGTAGAAATGCCGTGAGCTCTTCTCTCTAGCCGAATTTTTATCGGAAGCTTTCTCTTAAGTATTTTAAGTAATTTCATTACCTTGAAAAACAATTCGTTCTTTTTAAAAATGAAATGAAATAATTATTTTTCCTTATTGTCATGAATTTTAGGTCCGATAAATTTTATGTGCAAGAGATATTTTTAATAAAATTGTGATATTTTATTTATGTTAGAAATTTTAAATGCTCTAAATTCTTAGAAATAAATTTATTTGTTTTTCTTGTCTATTGTTAGAGAGTTTTAGATATTGTAAAATTATTAAAAATAAATGTGATATTTCTGTTTTTAGTAAATTGTGAGATTTTTTTCTATTTTTTTTTAATATTTAGACATTGTAAAATTCATGTGCAAATGACTGTCTCATTATTTGAAAACTGATATTTTTACATTTGATTATAACATTGTCTGTGAAATGTTTATTTGCAAATTATCATCTCATAAATTGTGATAATTCCGTATTCTTGAATTTCTATAAGAGTTTTTCTATGGATATTAGATTGGTAATTATGTTAAAATATGTCTTTACGAACTGCTACTTTTCTAAATTTGAGCCCAAAATATTTGACTGCTTATTTTTAAAATAAAAGTGATTGTTATTAATGGTTCCAGTGAAATTCATATTAATAATTTCAGTGATATGTTGAGTACATGATATTACTGCTTTCGAATGTTTAAAGAGATTTAGAAATACTTTAAGTATGCAGGTAGATTCATTTGGTTCGTCGGTGAGGTATAAGTGGACCTATCCGGTACGTCGGTAGGGATTAAGTAGACTCATCTGGTACGTCAGTGAGGTATAAGTGGATTTGTAGGGATTAAGTGGACATATTTGGGACGTCGATAGGGATTAAGTGGACCCATCATGACGCTGATGAGGTATATAGGTGACCTATTTGGGACGTCAGTAGGGTATTTTGTGAAATCCTTTGAATTATGCATTTCTGTTAAAATGTTTTTATGCATTTCCATCATTTGGATTATATTTAACTGTGGATTTGTGAAAGTGCAATTGTTATCTATAAATGCTTTTGCTCCCAGTTTTTCCTCAGGTAGTTTTTAACACACATTCTTCATAAAATGTTTATATCTTCCAACCATTATTATTTTTAGGATTATGATGATCACTTACTGAGTAGCCAAACTCATCAAATTATGGTAAACATTTTTTTTTTCAAGATAACTGCGGTTTTCATTTGAGTGCTCGTCAGAATCAACTCTGGAAGATATTGTAGTTATGCTTAAACTTTCTTTTCTTACTTTGTAAGAAAAAGTAAGAATTTGCCACTGTATAAGAATTTGCCACTGTAAATTTGTCCTAAAAAGAGATATGTATATGTTTTGACTGTCACATATCAGGAATATCAGTATTGTAAATTCTTGGGGCGTGACAATTATCGCCATTGTAAATTTGTCTTAAAAGAGATGTATATATCTTTTGATTGTCACATCTCAGGAATATAAGTATTGTAAATTTTTGGGGTATGACAAGTTTGAATAAGGTTGCAACATTAAATAATCCAATTAAGGCGCACCTTTAAATTTTATTATAAATGTAATTTTGATATAAAAAATTAAGAATCTATTTTCTACTCTATGAAATTTTAAACTTTAAAAGTGGTTTAAAGTTGTCTTTTTTTTTATGGCGGATTTTTTAGGTGCACTTTTAATTCTACTGTTGCAATCTTATATAAGACTTTTTTAAAAAAAAGAAAATGAAATACAAAGCTTATGCGATAAACATCATTAGATGATATATATTTTACGTGTCAAACATCATTATCTCCGCTTAACTTCATTCTAAATCTGGCTTCGATTTTATTTTATTTTAGTCAATTCGATATAGAACATTGTTGAATTTATATTATACATATACAAGTAAAACAGTTTCACGCTCCCGAAATTTCTTGAAAATGTACATCACAGGAAAATCGTGATGGCATTTTTATTGCCCAACATATAATAATTTTTGGGAAAATGACCTCCCGGAAACTTCCATCCCTATCAGTCCCTTGAGTTTGACCAAATTTGTTGTACCCTTTCAAATTAAAATTTTGGAACAGTTGGCCCCTTAAATATGTTTTTTTTCATTTTTTTTTACAAATTTGATCTTTTTATTGTACAAAATTTTTCGTTCTCTTTCTCTTCCGTTGCCTAAAACCAATCTTACCTCCTTGGATCCCACTCTATAAAATACTTTATAACAGATGAAATATTCAACAATCAATATATTATTGGTCTTATTATTGTTATTATAATTATTAATTAATTATAATAATTATAAATTATTATCGTCAATAAAATTTATATATATATATATATCGAGTCACAAAAAAAATATGGATGACTAATGTATGGGTTTGGCATTTTATAAAATAAAAAGATCAAATTTATAAAAAGAACAAAAAAAACTATAATTAGGTGGCTAATGGTCCCAAAGTTTAAACTTGAGGAGGTGCAAGAGATTTTGGTTAATCCAAGTTTAATGGGAATGAAAATATAAGGAAGGGGGTTAGAGGCCATTTTCCTTTAATTTTTTTTCTTGATACAAGTAAATAATTTTTCATTATCCTAAAATTACATGAAAATGTATTAGTTCTATTTTAATACAAGTAAAATAATTTCATGCTCCCACAATTTAAATGGGCATCTTTTAACTCTTGATCCTCCATCGATCATGTCTTTGTATTCAACCCCTTGTGGACGTTAATGCCTCCCCTAGTTCCCTATAAACACGTGGTTGTTTTATGATGCCCTGGTTCTTGATTGAATTTAAGTTTATATGGTTTTTCAGTGTTTGATTGTTTTGCCTTTCTGATTTTTGTTCCTCTTTATTATTTGGTTTCCCATGGGTTTTGGGCATTAGGGTCTCTTATATGATGCTTCATGGTTCTGGTTTCATTGTGCTCTCGTTTCAACTAATGGGTTTTTAAGGTCCTGTTATTACTTTTGAGTGATTTTGTAGGTTCTTTCGTATTATTTATTTCTGGATTTCTGTTAAGCTTCTTGGCGAACCACTTCTTGTTGATTTTTTTACGTTTCTTGAATTTAATACTAGGATCATTTTGTAATTCTAATTATTTTGCTTGGCCGTTTTCATTTGTTTTGATTTCTTGATTTTACTATGTTTTATAAAGGTCCTTATTATGTATTCATGGATTCTGTTTTTTGAGTCTTTTTAGGTTATCATTGTGGTTTAACGGGAGTGATGGTTCTACTTTTGTTTCAATAAATAATTGAGACCATACTAGAATGTGCATTCAAAGGATCTTAATCTACGCTCTGGCGGTGGTATTGATGAGGTCTCTGACTCCAAATCCCCATTTGACTTAAACACTTTTTTTTTTACTCACCCAAAAAATAATAATCTACGCTACATAACATAATCAATGTTATGTAAGATATGTTCTTGTAGCGTTATATGTCAATTGAATCTCATAATTTTTTCAGTCCTTTTATCGTTTAGGGAGTGATGGTTCTGTCTTGTGTTTCATAGAATGCGTGACCATTTTTGTGGTCCTGTGACTACTTTTTTTGGTTTTGGGGTTTCTTTTGTGTGACTATTTTTGTGATCATGTGCTTACTTTTTTGGGTTTTAGGGTTTTTTTTGTATTTTTATTTCGGAGTGCTTTTCATATGCTCCTTTAGGTGATGTTATTTTGTGAATTTATTGATGAGGGTTCTTTTGTTCAACATCAAAATTTCTCTCTGGTTTCTTCTGTTGTTTGGTTATTGAGCTATCATTGTGGCCTGATTTCCAAGGAATAAGGTTTGATAATGGTAGTCTATTTGTAGGTGAAATTGGCTTTTGTGATGCCGATGCCTAAACTATTGTATTGCATTTGTTGGCTGACATAAGCTGGTGGATTACTTCTGTGCAGTTTGCCTCACCATGGTGTTCGAGATTTAATTTTTTTTTTTTTGTAGATTTCAAGATTCAAGGTTATTAGTATGGGTTATTTTCAATCAACTTGATGCTGATAGAAGCTGGCTATCTTGAGATGGTAGTGATGAGTTTCTCAAATTTTTCAAATCTTATAAGGGAACAAAGAAAATTGGAAGGGCAATATTTTTTTAATATTCTATTCGGTATGTTTTCTGGAGTATTATTGAATTTGGTCATTGAATATCTCTCCTGCATGTGCAGATGATTTGATGAGTTGAAGCA